ATTTAATCTTCTCATAATATGGGACAGTTGAACATCCTGTTTGGACCGTAAAATACCGGTACACGTAGTATTCTCGACATTCCAAAGGCCTCTGACACAGTGCCCCACGCACATCTATTCGCATAGGTTGCAGAAATAGGCTTCACTGACTCACTTGTATCTTGACTCAGAAACTACCTTGAGAATAGAAGGTTTCTCACCAAGGTAAACAGAGTGCACGCGTTTGGAGAGTATCCACATCGGGAGTTTCACAGGAAACCATCCTAGGCCCACTTCTCTTCCTGATATTTATTAACGACCTGCTAGGCTCAGTCAGCTCACCGGCATTGATCTACGCAGATGATGCGAAGATCTGGAGGTCCATTAGAAGCGAAGAGGATTGGGCAGAGCCATACTAGTCCAAACTATGTAGGGGATGCAACCAAGGCAAAGTGACTCTTCACTTTATGCGAAGACAACTTAGTGCTATCACCCTTAAATTATTTTTAACCCTGTTGAAGACGAACGCGCGCCCACACTTGGAAGTTTATAACGTCATCGCACCCCCTCTGATCAAAAGAGACATAAATCTCTTGGATCGAGTGCAGAGACGAGCAACTGAATGGGTAATAGGGTTGAAAAATAAACCCTACGACGATAGACTCCAGCTCTTGGGATTATTTCCACTGAGCTACAGGAGTATAAGAAGCCATCTGATTATGACGTACACCATATTAAACACGCCAAACTATCTCAATGTGAAAATCTTACTGGCGCATCACCACCACTCCCCTCGAGGCCGTCCTCGAAAGACTGCACATCAAAGAGTGAATACTCAGATTCGTTCACACGTTTTCTCATTGCGAGTCGTCGCAACTTGGAATGCTCTCCCAGAAGAGGCGACCACAACTCCTCAGTGGACTGCTTTAAGAAGAGACTTGATAATCACGCACTCACATACGGATTATCATCTCCCTCTTGGACAGGCTGTTCATGATGCATATCTTGAGACCTGCTAGTTGTTAGCATTGTCATCTCCTCAGATCACTCAATTAATCTATCTCGCCTATTATCTCTGTTTCCTCCGCCTTGCTTACATTTCAGCCCTCTTTCACAATCTTCACTACCAATTAATATACTAAATCATCTATATATTACTTAGTTCTGAAATTTTATTCATATTAGCACTAGAATTTAATCCTTATTATCCTTATTATTCTCCACACTGCAACTAACTGATCTCCGGTTTGGTAATCTGATAGCTGCTGGTATCCATAAACCCTACTGCCCTGAAACAAATCTTTTCATTCAAATCCCGAGACACACAAACTCATAACCAACTGCCAACTGACTAGAATTAGACAGTCGAGTGGCTAGACCTGCATCCATCGGACATTACCGAACACCTGGAACCGTACCGAAAGAACAAGAATCGAGCGCAAAGAAATAATTCGTTTATATTGGCTCGTGAAAAAGATATTGGATATTGAGTGAGGTGCTCGTTGTGGAAGCTAATCTAATGACTGGGGGATATTAGCAATAGATACCTACTTTGTTCTTCAATTATTATTTGGCTTCTAAATTTTTCCATTTCCCTCACTGAGTTTTGTATGAAGGTAATGGATGATGTGGTTTCGAACATGAATTCAGAGGATCTTCTGAACCTCGTAGTTCACAAATTCGGAACAGGGTAGAATTAAACCTCTCATTTATTTTTTTGAAGAGAAATGTTCAAAAAGTGTATACTGAAAAGTGGTGGTTTTGTCTTCACATTTTTAATTTATCAATTGACAATTCACTTACATGAGACTTTATGAGTGATTTGACGCTAGTTGAACCTATCGGGAAATCGGGTATTCTTTAAAAAGGAAAAACGGCTGCAACATATCTTTCCTGTGTCTGCGGGCCAGTTGAATTGTTCTACCCATCGATTTAATTTCCTGGGTTGAATGGTTGATGGTCTAATCATTCCGAGATAGTCGTCTCAAAAGTAGTTAGAATTCCAATAATGATTTATTCGAGAAGCCTGAGCAGTTGTCTACTATTATCTATCGCCGCTGTCCGTTTCACCTCTTGGTTTTGCGGCCCACTAGTGTTCACGACCGATGCGTAGACTTCTCATCATCCTGCTCCTAAGCTGACTTCGCTCCTCATCGTACTCAGAGCCAGACGGTTTGAGTTTCCAAGCATCTATCAGTTGCGTAGATGCTACTGAGATCCACAGCTTATCCCTAACCTTATGGTTTACCTTATTAGCAGATATCACAGCGGTTTCTACAGACTTTCGGGTATCGTTCCAAGCTGCCTCGGGGCGGGAATCATTTATATGGCTCCTGAAATATATTCCTAGTTTTGCTGTCACTAGGTGGGACCCTATGAGGTTTCAGTGCGGTGTCATTCCTACGTCCGGTAAGCCGAAAACAAATATGCGCTCTCCCTAAAGCATGGTCTGAATCTAAACATGTGCTCGGGAACGAACAATAGTCCCTATTGGACCTCTCCATCGGTGGCTGATACAGATATGATCTAGTTGTGTCCAGCGTTGGAAAACTTTAGGGGTTGCTTTGTCGAAAGATGTTTTTCCTTGTGCTTAAAGTTAGTATTTGCTAGGAATAGGCGCTTATCTGAACATAGAAGCAGCAGACGGTTGCCACTATCTGTTCGAACAGCCGCGACATCATAAGATCCACCCAGGTATGTTTCTTTTTCCCTCATTCTACTTGATCATTTAAGTCACTAGACACTAGTACCATACCAGAAGGCCTAATATTTTGGCAGAGTTTTAAAAGATTTCTGTGAAACTCATCTTGTACCTCGACGGCGAGTGTTCCTATCTTTCCGAATCCCTACTGTCCCGTTTAGTCGGACAGCTCATGAGCGGCTATCTACTGGGCTCCAGTCTAGGGGAGCTAGTTCTGCCCTATGACTCGGGGCTATACCTGCAACTGACCGCCTCACTTATCTCGGGTGTGTCATCAGTGCTGATTGCCTGGTGACAGTCGAAATTTCAGTACGGATACAACGGGCCCGACTGGCCTTCGCCAACTCTTCTATCCACAAATGAGAAATATTTGCGTTTCGGAGATGCAGCATGCATCGATGATACGAGATTCCAGAGTCTTAGTTAATGAAGCCTGTTGACCTATTTGACACAAGGTTTGAACAATTAAATCTCCAACATATAGTTTAGAGCGGTATTTCAGGAGACCAGGAATAACGTTTCGTTAACTCGAATCGTTTGCATTAGCGGTGCAGGATGATAAAGTACTGTGAGAAGGTTTCGTCGTGTAGATAACAGAGGTGTTAGGTGTGTAGGAAGGATTTGATTGTGACTGAGTTGGTCTCGTGTGGCGTTACGGGTATGAGGGCGGACGTCACTTCTCGGCTGTCCACATCGTGGAAGGGTGTTTCTTGAGGGACCTGAAAAGGAAGGTAGATTAGTGTTAGTCTCAGAGACCTGGGAGCGTGACCACACACCCCAAGGGACAACTGCTTGAGGCCGGTCACGCACGTCCTTTTTATGAGAAGCTTGTAAAGTGTTAGCTCCAGTGTTGTTTAGAAGGCGTAGCCGCCGGAGACGGAAATCAGTGAGATAAGGTGGGTCGTGAAATTTTTAGGGTCGACGTTTTCTAACTCCTTCCTTCGTCCTGAGAAGGTAGCATCGCAGCGGATGATGCTGGTTGTCCGAAGGAAACACCTTACTGCTGTCTCACTCCTCTACAGTGGACAGAGCCACTTCGTCCTCAGACCTTGAGTTTCTGCCTTTAGTCTCACCGTTCTCCAACCAACCAGCCTGGCACGGTAGAGCCTACAGGAATATGTGTTCCAGCCAATCTAGCTCGGTTGGGTCATCACGTTAGGCAACCTCGACCATCAAGTCAAGGTTGCAAGTACGGCTAGGAATATTGAATAATATCCAGTGTAAAGGAACCGTGAGCACGGCGTTCGAGCTTATGTCCCACAAGATATCCGATTGTAGATTGCTCTTATACATTGGGCCCAAATAGAAAGTTTGAATCTTCCGACACAGCTCAGTCTAACATCCCGGGATTTTATTGTCATGAAAGGTCTCGCTTAGAAACTTGTACACTTTTTAAGCCTACCTAAGCACTCATAGCGTTTTGAGTTTTGCGGTGATTTCGAGTATAAAACGTGTTGAAAACACTCAAAAGTATCCGCAAATAATTGCTTGCAGCCTAAGAATATGTTTTATCTTGTCAGTTACAATTTTCCATCCATTAAGTGATGAAACGTTAAGTTTTGTGCTGTATACCCAACGTTATATCGAAAAAACATCTCAAAAACTCTTCACTTTACCGAAGTTAGAATATTGAAAACAAGCTGTTTGAATCCATATTGGAAATTTCACAACAACCAACCTACTTGTATTGATAACATTCTTAAAACAAGGTGGCCAGTGGTTGGTGCTTTCAGAGTAAAATTGGCACACCCCACCCCGTGAAAAATCAGTTTTATAATTTGGTCAGAGCAATGTTAATGTTACTAATACTGATTATATATATATATATATATATATTATGATCATGTTTAGTGCTTCGATCAGTTCTTACGAATTATTCGATAAATTTCCAAACGTATAAGGTTGTTGAATTTTTTTGAAATAATGCATTGAATCTGAGTTCGACAATCATTGTAAACATGGAAGCACAGGATAGTTGTTTCACCCTATTGATGGACTCCTCGGCAGTGCGTATCCACAATCTCTCAATAAGAAACCTAACCCAGATCCTTCAGTCTGGCGCGTGAATGCTTAACCTCCAGATTACTCAACTTGGGTCCAACGGTACACAAATATAGCGTCGACCTATCCATGATGTTACGCGATAATCCTCTATTGCTTTTGGTGGGTAACATGCAGACAAGTTAATTATACAATTCTAACTTAATACCATTTATTGATTTTGACAAATTTGAATAAAAACTCTTTCTTTTAGTTCACTATCCTACTATTTTCACTGTTAACACTAATATTGTTAAAAAGTTTACTTTGAAATCATATACTCATATTACACATGTAATGCCTATAATGCTGTTAGTTTTACGATTTTCTCTTGTGATAGTCACTGCGTCTTCGGTGGCGTAGAACTAAAGAAGAAATTGCACATCAATTTTATTGTGTTTCAACGTAAGTTACAAGTACACACTCAGTTCTTATAGTAATACCTCTATATTTGCTGTGTTTATTGAATAGACTGTAAATATTAATCTATTCTAATTCAATAATGCTCATAAGTACGATAAAAGGTGGTGAAAGAGACAGCGCCCGGTCCATGTTTTGAAGAAAGATAAAATAAATAAAATAATGTACTTAGGTATTACTAATTTATAATTGGTTACCTTAAGCAAATTTGACTTGATTAGCACAATATGAACTATTTCTAGCTCTTCTCAACTTCTGGTTTTCGAAACCAATTGGTTAAAATTGTTCTGTTTGGACTTGTTGGTCCTAAAGAAATTTCCATTGCTTTTTGTCCGAATTCCAAAGCTTTTAAATTACGATCGATTAGATTTGGTTCATCGGATATTGTAATTATTAAAATGACTTTTGCCTGCCCACCAAAACATGGTTTTAGTAAATGTGTAAGTTTCGAATCACGGTATGGTATAGTTACTAGACTAGTATTATGTACACCAGATTTTACTGAACTGTTACGTCGTCGAAGCGCTTCAAATACACGTGCCAATGATACTAAGGACTTATTTATAGATCCGATTTCTGTCTGTACTTTACATTTTGTTTGATTTCGTTCCGCACTTTCTGATCCAGCAAGATCACACAAAATTAATGATGAATTACGCTTTGTCTTATTGAGTGCATTACGTAGTGTGATCTGTAGACGTATTATGTAATGTGTACGTGCTGGTTCGATATCCGATGTATTCGATATCGATTTATGTCGTGTATTGCCTTTTTTTATCCAATAAATAGTGTCTTGTTCATTATCTACGATTTTTTCTTCAACTTCATTCAATCTTACATCACTACTGTCATCGAATAATTTTACTCGTCTGGTTTTTTCACTCAGTAAATCGTAGATGATTTCTTTATGTATTCCAAGCATCGCAATGCTAACTTGTATGTGTAATGGTCCACATAATTCAAACAGTCCAGTTACTGTTCTCAAAGCAATACCAGGATCGTTAATTGAACCTTGTATTGTATACGTTTTACCTGAACCAGTAGGCCCATAAGCCATTATGCAAACATTGTGACCATGGATGCATGAAGCGATAAGTGGGCGAATTTCTTCAAATACATCCAGTTGTTTGGCGTCAGGACGAAAGACACGATTAAATGTAAATATGTTTTCATTCACTGTATGCTTATTAGCTGATTTAACATATGTTTGACGCTGATGAACATCATCAATCGGTACAATAATTCGATCGATCGATTGAAACTGAAGTATACATGGATTACTTGACGTATTCGAAGAACGACATCGGCAAAAAACCTTCAAATTCCCATACTCTTCTTGTAGTTGGTTCTGTAGAAGTGTTCTTGTCTCAATTTCCTTAGTGAAAAGCTGTTGGAGTTTATAATATTCGCTTTGTAATTGTTGAAGGTTTCCACGCATTTTATCGATTTCAGCACCAGACAAACTAGATTTTACTTGTTCAGCTCGATTTTGTGTTATTTCTTGTTTTAATAGTTTATTTTCATGCATTAATTGCTCTATTCTTGCACGTGAATTTATCTTCTCTTCTTGTTTACATTGTACCTCTCGTTGTAGTTGTATATTGTTGAATTCTAAATTTTCACATTCTTGCGTTTTAGTTCTTAACAAGGTTCCTAATTGTCTTGATACACTTTGTAAATTTTTATTTTGTGATTGTACACAGTTTAACTCATGTTCTCTATTTGCTTTGTCTGTTTTAATGCCCCCGTAACTTTTTAATTGTTCTAGTAACGTTGATCTATTGTGCGATAAATTTTCAACTTCAGTCGTTTTCTTTTCTAACTCTCTTTTTAACTGGCTGCTATCCTTCCATAAAGACAAATGCTCGGCTGTTAGATCATCTACACTTTTACATGTATTTAGATATTTCTCATTTAATGTTATCAATTCTTTTTCTAACACTCCAATTTGATCTTGTAAATTTTGTTTTTGTGAGAATAAAACTTCTAACATTTTGGTTAGTTTCAAATATGTTTTGCTTTGGTCGACTTCGTTTGAACTTTTGATAGATTTCAATATTCTACGTATAAATATTTCCATGATTGTTTGTTTAGTGTGTAAATTTCTTAATTGATCCGATTTGATAACTTTAGAAAATTCGCTAGGATCAATCTTTTCTTTTTCACTTGATTTGTCTGGTTGCTTCCCAGGTAAATTAAGACTTTGTAACTGGCCTGGCATGTCTCCATTTGATGTGCATCCTGGTGAACTATACAGCTGGACTTCACTTGATTCCATGCCTAAGTCCACTGATTTATTTGCAGGCAAGAATAGCAAAAATTCCGAGTCTATGGCCCTATTATACTACTTCATTGTCAATCAGAAGGTATATATTTATATACATTTGCAACTAACCAGCGTTATTGATTCATGAAGTTTTAAACTATCAAATAGCTATCGATTAATTTAAAATGATCTATGTATTCATTATTTCATTAATCAATAACACTAGTTACTTAAAAAATATAAATATATGCCTTCTGATTCACAATGACGTAGTATTTCGTTATCAGTCGGATTTGAAGGTTGTTCAAATCGAACAAAAGTGGAATATAACGAACCGAAATAAATTTTTGGTCAGTTAACATTTTAAGGGCTAGAAAAGTTCGATAACAATGAGGGTTCATAAAACGCACCTACTTTACTCGACTCAGCCAAATCATACACTGGACATTTGTCAAATGCACGATACTCATCTGGGACAATTGTACTGCCGGTGTAGTGAACGAGAACACAGGTGGGAGCAACCTAATTGTATTTAACGAAAATTACAGAGTTACTCAGTAAAATCGGAAAACCATATCTTAAATCGTTAATTTGCAAAATATCAGTTCATCATATCGAACTGGACTGTTCCTGTTGCAAAACATCAATCCATTGTCACTATTTATGCGTTTCATACAAATTCCATTGTGTTCTAACTCTTCCTTTCTTGATCTTCCCCCCATCTGCTGCTGCCAGACATTACGTTGACACTCACGTCATATACTACTTATAAGTAGCTCGCACCACACCGGATCGGTAGTTCGAGATAGTAACATTTATATTACTTTCAAAGCCATAATGCTCGATAGTAGTTTCCTAGACTTCATTAATGCTTTGTCAAAGTATTCAGACAATTCTTCAGAGATAATAGTTATTGGACACTAAGTCAGTGGATATGCCTGGTTCAGTGGTTTATATATTTCAGTGTACAGGATCATTGACATACACTAAAATCATAGCTACTCTCACTAATTATTTCATGTTTACATGAAACTACGTGTCATGATATAAAATTTGCTGTAGCTATTAAGATGAGAGGACGTCAAAATATCAACCGATACACCTATCTATTGGAGCTTCACATTTTACAAATAAAATATTTAATTAGGATGATGACTGACTACATACCAACGCTTTGATAAATAGAATAGTCGAACATAAGAACCTAAGTGTAGTTTTTCATTTTAATTGTAAAATTTGGTTTGCAATCCCTGATCCCAATCTGTTCATTCCCTAAGGACGTTTATAATTAAATATTAAAAGAGATGCGTGATTTTACCAACTAGAAAAGGTTTACACGTAAATTTACATTAAGATAAACAGAAATGAAGAAATCGCCGGTATGTTATGCATGCCAGATTATTTATTAGAGGGGGATGATTTTATGTTGGGCATCATTTTTGCTGTCATCACAGTGCTAAAATATAACCTCATACATTAGGAGAATCGTTTGTGGATTTTTTTGATTTTTCCATGAGTTCAGTTCATTATGTTATCGATAGACTTGATTAGATTAATGAAACATTCAATATTTTTTAAATCATTAGTGAATATACTTAACGTAATTAGTCATTTATCAAATAATGTTATCAATTTATTGCAGATTTGACAAAAGTCAGTTTAAAGAAAAAGAATATCTTCACTAGAAAACACTTACTCAACAACTAACTGTAGTTTTAAAACCTTTTCATGTTTGTAATCAGTAGCACTAAGGTTACTAAAAAGACAATAAGATTGTACTCTTTACTATTTTATTGACATACATATAACACGACTATGTAATAACCTAGTGATATACAAATCTAAAAAAACATTTTGTTAGTCTGTTCTATACCTTGGTAGAAAATATAGGCAACCTAGTTTAATAATTTGCGACCAAGATCTTGTAGTGGAATACTTTTATGAAGACAATGCGACTGGTTTAATAGAAACATTCATCAATAAAACCAATCCTACTGGTGATTGTTTAACTGTACTTTTTTGTTTAGAACACTCCTTACGCGAAATTTTCTGTTTGTGTTGCTTCCACCCTTGCTGTAGCTGCTCTTTAATTTCGCCTACTTTCTTGGTGTAAATTCGGTGTTCTTTCGACACCAAAAGATCATCAGCAACTATATTCTTTAGCCTGGATTTATCTATCTTTATGGTGACTGCTAATCATGACTCACTCACTGAAATTGGTGAGTTGACGTTTTATCCAAAGAAGTCAATTAATATGAGTCTATCATTCATCTATCACCATTTTTATCAAGTTCCAATACTATTATTAATGTCCTTTATTATATATATTACACTTGCAACGTTTCGAAATGGTGGATAGTTTTAATAGTAGACTTCGAGGTGCAGGTCATTGCATTTTCACCTGTCTCCTTCCCGTCAATTTACGTTGCTTGTTTATTTTACCTGCACGATTATCGCACCAACGCTAGGTACCTAGTGGCAACAGGTGTCTAAGTTTCTGCCGATTCGTCTGATAGCAGCAAGTCTCAAGCTACAATGCTTCGACTGTTACTCCTACCTACAGTACACGACAGCTAACGATCAACCTTAATAATCGACGGCAGTATCAAAGGCCGTTCGTCCTTGCTGATGTTCCTATAGCCGTACTCAGCACTATTAATTGCTGTTTGATTCACGTAGGCTGCAGTTAATCGATACTTCGTGGAATATGATATCCAAGGGTTTTAACGCTCGAACAGATGTGCACCGAATCACTGGTATATTTTTTGCATTATTATTTATTCCATGTTATATTTTATAAATTCCCCGCAGGAGATCCAATCGGTGATTAATTATGTTGTAAGCCATATCGTCACCTGCAGACCTCCAGTCATGGCAAAACCTCGCCGATTGGCACTGGACAATTCAGTTTTTGCTTAGCGTGAGTTTGATAATTTACTTGCTATATGTATTACTCCGTCTTTCTCACAGTCTTTGAGCCTTCTCTCTCCATTTGGTTTGCAAAATGACGGCACTAGTTGGAAACCACACGGCGATTATAGAGTAGCAACGGCAGATAGTCAATGTTCCACCCCTGAACTTGTATACAACACGACATTGCATCTGCCCAGGGGAATTTTCACACCACAGGGCAGCAATTTTATGTATATCAGATGGCGTCCAACGACCATCTACGTACATGCGTACACTGCCTCCGGTGTTAACTCGAATACAGCACCGATAGATCGCCCTCTCTCTAGAGTTATCTACCTATTCACATGTTTTCATACGAGTAAATTCGGTGCGCAAACCTTTGCAACAGCCATACGGAAGACCTTTTCTCGTGACGTCTCGTCAGGAAAAGACCTTCAGGGTTGATCGACACAGTCAGAATCGATCGTCTCAAACCAGCACATGACAATAACAGTACCTTACCCGATAAACCTAGATTAAATGCTAGCTCCGTCCAACTCACTGGCGGGACCCTAGTTACTCCTTCGGATCACGCACTAGATAAATCAGAGACCTCATTCTCACGTCTCAGTTAACAGCAACCGTCATCTGCACCATCTACGGATGAGACTCCGATCGCACGTCCAGATCAGCAGACCACGCCATCCTTGACTTCGGATGAGATTCTAGGCACCCGATGTACGCGCGAGACTACAGTCTCGCGTTCCGGTTGCCGAGTACGCCTACCTGTAAGTTTTCGCGACCAATATCTCAATCAACAACGGATAAAGTATAAGAGTTTGTCTTCACACCACATGCATGCTACGCCTTTCTCTTCTTCTTTGATTTTTTCTATTCTGAGCCTACGCCTCCGACCATCGCTCTGTTGGTACCGTCTACTTCAGTCAATCTTGGCGCGGGCTGGCCTGATCACCCACGCTCTGGTCAATGCATTTAGTCAATAATTTGGTTCCGATTACGTCTAGCAAACGTTTGGTCTCGAACTTGGTCGTTATGGTCGTTTCTGGTTCCTTCGACCAATCAACTTCCGTCCTACGTCTGCAGCGTTTTCTTGTCCAAACAGCTACGAACGCAATCTTCAGGTTGTGGATACGAGCCACGCTGGTGTGGCACGCCAGCTTAAGCCGTAAACCTGGCACGTATTTCTGGTGCAGTTCAATGTATAAGATTTTCGGTGACAACTCGAGCTTCATGAACCGCTTCTGTTTGTCAACCCTTCAGCCCTACAACTGCACGTTGGCTGATCAGTCCCCCCCCCCGAACGAAACCGTCGAGTATCGGAAGTGTAACTCCTATCTAGGTGGGCTGCCGTACTGGAGTGCTTTCTTCAAGAGAACGCGATTGGTTTATTAGAAGCATTCATTATTACAAGCACGTGTACCAGTGACTGTTTAACTGTACTTTCTGTTCATACCACTCTTTACGCGCAAAACTTCCTCTTATGTTGCTGCCATTTTCGCTCCGCCATCTCTGTAATTTCGTCTCACTTTTCTTGCTCAGTCTCGGTATCCCCTCGATATCGCGAAATTGCCAGCAAACATATTCTTCAACATGGACTTATTTATCTTCACGGTGACGGTCAATTACGACTAACTCATTACAGGTGAACAGAAGCAGGAGTCCCATGTGCTTGTACAAGAATTTCATCAAAAACTTTTATTGTAAGACAGATTAATAACTGTAATCAGAAGCTTCCATTGGCGATGACTGACTGTCCAAATCGTGTTTATCGCTATCCAGTAAGTTCACTGTCGTAAGGCTGTTGCTAGAAAATAATAATTGCCACGACACATTTACCGGTTAATTATTATTCCATTAATAGAAAAGCTAGTAGAGAATAATTTGTTAAAAGTCTTGATTTTTCTAAATTAGGTGACAGCGTTGAGCCGTCCATACACTTTAGGAGAATGGTAACCAGTCCGTAAATGTTAAAATGACTATTGGAATTCTAGGAAAATCTCTTATTATCTGTACCTTCGTACAACTGATGAAATGAAGCGAGCTATTACAGGAAACAGTATTTCATATCTGAAATGTACAAATGGCTTCAGTTATGTTTTTAAGGGTCACTAAACAAGAATTGTACTTGTCTGGCTGTTTTGAGGAGTCAGTGCATTTCTGGATATATTATTACCCTGTAGTGACTTCACTTTAATGAATAAAAACACG